CATTGATAATCTAAAATTCAGGAATATACAATAGACTATGTTTTTATAAATGACTCAACATTAAATATCAAATTTTAAAAGTTTCATTTTAATATTAATTGGGATATATTTTAAAGGAATTTTGGTTATTAAAAAAGTTTGGATTGCTAGTAATTTGTTTATTTTATTATTTAAATTTCAAAATCTAAATAACCAAAGTTGTTTATTTTCCTCTAAAAAAATATTCTGTAAACTAAATGCCATCTAAGTGGCATTTTACTAAACATTTAGTTGGTGAGTGTTTCTAACAAAAATAAATTTTTTTATCTATACAAGTGAGGAAAAAAACTCTTACTCGGTAAACGATTATATGGTAAAACACACTTACCAACAATCCATTTTGATGATCGAGTATATCACTAATAAGGTAGGTGATGGTGGTAATCTTTGCTAATAAACCTTTATCCGATAAGAATTTGGTAAACGACTCCTAATATTATTTTTCAAACGGTTAGAGAACATGAAGTAAACAAGGCGCAAACCTTGAGAGGGTTTCAAGTTGTGGGAAAGCGACTCTCATCTTTCGTTTCAATTAGTTCCAGTTCATAAAGTTATCAATCTCAAATCACCTCGGTTATTTTATGGGCAACTTTCTAATTAATGAGAAAGTGGTTTGTGGTTTTCACGTCCTTTTCTGATATTTTAATTCAAATAATGTTAACTGTTATGTATTATTTCTAAGGTAGGTAATTTGATCAAAAGTGAACAAGAATAACGTAATTTATATGATCATAAATATAAATAATGATGGATAAATATTATTAAACATAATTAACATAAAGAAATTAATCATGAATTTCGTCTTTGTTTTTTGGTGGTTTTTATGAAATTAGTCCCTAAACTTCATTTGTCACAAAAGATATGCTGTTTAGTAATAAGTTGGCCTCTTACTGTAACATCTAATTCCTCCGTTAACCTTAGGGCATTTTCGTCATTTTTTGGTATTTTCTTTAGGGACCAATTTCACAAAAACAATATATATATATATATATATATATATATAAGAGCGATCAAATGAAAACCACTCTAATTTGTAAAAACCGTAAAAACTACTCTCATTCGTCGATTTCATTGTTTAATCTTATGAAATTTTTTCATGAAATTGTTTAATCTTGTGAAATTGTTTCATATAATACTTTTTTTGATGAAGTTGTTTC